AGAAGGCAGAGAGTTTGAAGGACGAGAAGTCTGGAGAGCCTTCCAGGAGAGAATCCGTTGCGGAGAGTACTAAGCCCGAAAGCTTGAAAGATGACAAATCCCTTCATACCTCCAAAGAGCCATCAAGACCTCACTCTGTCACCGAAAGTGTGAAAGACGAGCACGAGAAACCAGAAAGTGTTAAGGACGATAAATCTGGAGAACCTTCAAGACGAGAATCCATTGCGGAGAGTACTAAGCCCGAGAGTTTGAAGGACGACAAGTCGCTGCCCGTCTCCAAAGAACCTTCCCGCCCAAGCTCTGTTGTTGAGAGTGTGAAAGACGAGCATGAGAAACCAGAAAGCGTTAGGGACGAAAAGTCTGGAGAGCCTTCCAGGAGAGAATCTGCTGCGGAAAGTGTAAAACCCGACAGCTTGAAAGATGAAAAGTCTATACCTGTCTCTAAAGAACCTTCCCGCCCAAGTTCTGTTGCTGAAAGTGTGAAAGATGAGCATGAGAAGGCAGAAAGTGCTAAGGACGAGAAGTCTGCAGAGCCCTCCAGGAGAGAATCAGTTGCGGAGAGTACTAAACCCGATAGCCTCAAAGATGACAAGTCACTTCCTGCCTCCAAAGAGCAATCAAGACCTGAGTCTGTCGCTGAAAGTGTGAAAGATGAGCATGAGAAACCAGAAATTGTTAGAGACGAAAAGTCTGGAGAGCCTTCCAGGAGAGAATCTGCTGCAGAAAGTGTAAAACCCGACAGCTTGAAAGATGAGAAGTCTATACCTGTCTCTAAAGAACCTTCCCGCCCAAGTTCTGTTGCTGAAAGTGTGAAAGACGAGCACGAGAAGCCAGAAAGTGCTACGGCTGAGAAGTCTGGAGAGCCCTCCAGAAGAGAATCCGTTGCGGAAAGTATTAAGCCCGACAGCTTGAAAGATGACAAATCTCTGCCAGTCTCCAAGGAACCATCACGGCCGGGCTCTGTGGTAGAAAGTGTGAAAGATGATCATGAGAAGGCAGAAAGTGCTAAAGACGAGAAGTCTGCAGAGCCCTCCAGGAGAGAATCCGTTGCGGAGAGTACTAAACCCGATAGCCTCAAAGATGACAAGTCACTTCCTGCCTCCAA